CAGTGGTGTATCAAGTAAACTGCAGTGCTTATGCGTGGACGAATGTTACACCAACTGTGCGATCTATTATACCTCCATGATTTTACCAACAAAGAGTATCTGACCGTATTGATTCTAACAAAGATATTTTCATAATTTTAATTAAAAGTGAGAGAATACCATTTTTAGGCCCAATAAAAAATTGTTATTAGTTTATCACCCCCCGCGCGCATGTCTTCTATGGTACTGGGGGAAATTTTTTTGAAAATTTTATTTTTTTTGAAAAAAACAATTAAAAAAAATTTTATTTATTTATTTTTTCATTTATTTTATTAAATAGTTAGTAGATACTGTTTGCATTATCTAAATGTTTTACTTTGAATATCACCAGAAAACAACCCAAGGGTGATATTTGGCTTTAGCAAAATAAATTTTTTTTTTAAAAAGCCTCCCTCCCTCATCACTTTCACCAGATAGATTGGTAAACTTTTTATAGGGCCTTAACAGCAATTACCACTCGTACAGATTGACTCTGTCAAGGAAAAGTATATTTTTCAGTTGTTTTAAATATTGACTTGACCTTCCTAATGAAATTAAGCAGTCAGCTATCTTCAAATTTTGCTACATTTAACGTATGTTTCCTGCTGGAAAAATATCCTTTAATCCGATGTTCGGTAAAATGCATGTTTTGTAGATGTATAAACAATTAAGGTGTGATGTGTTTAAGCTAGCACGGTACTCAAATTCGAACTTGCAATTCAGAATTTTCAATTTAGAATTGTTCAATGTTTCGATGATTAAATGAAAATAAAATAAACTGATTTTAAAATGAAACCATGCTCCTTAGAGGCCGAACACTATCAGCTAATACTTATACACCGTAATATATACAATGTGATCTTTAGGTACACGTGACCCAGAAACAGCAAGTGGAATTAGAATGATGCAGTGAATGAAATGAAACGCATGAAAAGACAAATCTGACAAAGCAAAAACACCAAAGCACTCAAACCTGGTACCTTTTGGCAGAAGTCCTCTGGTGGACTTTATAGCGACTTGTGGTGATCCAAGCGCTAGCAGACTCTGAATTCCTTACAACAATAATATCGCATCATGATAAACTGTCACAGATCTATAAAATAAATATTTGAAAAAATAGAATAATAACACTAAAAATTTTAAGTTTCATTCTTGCTGTGTCCCGAGGTGAGCCTGGAAAGAATAAAAATGAAAACAAATAAACCACTGCGCATGTCGAATTTCAGTCACATGTGTTGTCCCTCCAATCATTGCAAAAATGTTCACTTGCTTTTTGTATTGGATATGTACATTGATCTACATACAATAATGCTAGCCTATTTGAAATTATAGGCTCATTACATTGAATATGTTACGAGTGACTTAAATACTACCAGCGAGCAAATGTATATTTACAGACGAAACGGTAGTGGTTGACATATTTACCAAATTGATTTGCTACCGATTTTATACTTCCATTGATATGCATTTTCATGGCGGCAACAATAGATTTGTTGATACAACAAAACGTTTCAGTTGGTTTATTTATTTATGTGATTTGTACATTTTTACCTGTCACGCTGGTGACAATAATTGGAAACTTGTTTGTTATACTCAGTGTGTATCGGAAACGTGCTTTAGCAAAAACTCCAAATTGTATTTTCATGTCATCTTTAGCCCTCTTTGATTTCTTAACTGGCTTGATTGGAGTTCCTCTTTGTATGGTTGCTTATATTCTTCGTAGACAATTCTTTTATATAGGAACCTGTGCATTTTGGTATTATGTACCCGAAAGAACATTTGTCACAATCTCAGTGCTGCATCTCATTGTGATCACTATTGACAGGTTCCTTGCTATTAAATATCCTCTTCGATATATTGCGTGGATGCCCGTTGAAAGAGTAATTCGAATTTGTATTTGTGTCAGTTTGTTAGGTCTTTTTCTCAGAGGAATTAAATTAGTAGTAAGTGCGTTCCTGTTTGTACCACCACTTAATGTGACGTATGAAGACGAATGTGGGAGTTCAGCGTTGTACGATAATATGTATAGCATCCCTGTGTACTTTCACATCAACCCGATTTTCGGCTTGACAATTCCTATCATGTTTATTCTGTACGTATCTATTTACTCAATTGCGTCAAAAAAGCGGCGACAGAGATTGCCACACTTCACCGAAAGAAAGTTAACAGACTGGAAATGAATGTTACCAAGACAACAGCCATAGTACTTTTGGCTTACACTCTCTGTGTTGCACCAACTGTTCTAAGAAGCGTTGTCCTAAAAGCTATTGATAATGGTTCCACCTGGCTTGTGTGGTACCGTACTTGTGGTTGGCAGATTTTCTTGGACTCGCTAACTCGATGGTGAATCCGTTAATATATGTAGGAAGAAGTAGAATAATGAGAAAAGAATTAAAAGAAACCTTTACTTCATTATTTGTAAGATTTACCCTGAAGAATCAGAATTAAAAGTGAAAGACGCATAGACATCAGTTGACGGAAGTTGTATATGCTATATAGCTGTATAACCTTTTTGAATATAAGAGCAGCCTATGCATTATGCCAAGAAATCATCTACTGATTTTGATCTGGTTTCCGCTAATGCTGATGATGATTGAAATCTCCATGCTCACATTGTGTTGTAAACGTACGCTAATAAAAACTCCGAATTATAAATTTGTCATTTTTAGCACTTTGGATATCTTAACGACTGGGGCGGATGCACCCCCATAAACTGTATAAAGAAAAATAATTGTATTATATTGTTGATATGAATTATTGTAAGATTTTTAAGGTACATGAGAGTGCAATTTCCGAGCACCCAGAGGTCCATATTCTCAAAATTCTTAGCCACATCCCCTCAGCACCACCACCTCAGCCCCAAGCATGTTGGGGGTATGGTAGTGGACTCTCACGCACCATGGGCGCAGATAATGGAGGAAAGGGATAAACGTCCAGGGGTGGCGCCAGGATTTGCCTAACGGGGGTGGGGGGTTGGGATCCGAGGTCCCCGACGGCGGGCCGATGTCCCCGACGAGGGTGAGTGTGATAATGGTGAATTTTACTGTATAAAGTGTCATTTCCGGCCATCTTAAGGTACTATTTCCTCAAGTTTTCTCACCTCGACCCCAACCATGGTGGGGCTGAGGTGGTTGTGGACTCATGGCTTTGAAGTAGGTAAAGTAAATACATCAAGAGAATGTTTTACGTTTTATGTGTAGGCCTACATACACGGCCGCTACTAATTAAATATCTGTGGTTGCCGAAAATCGCTGATACTTTTGACTATATAAGGGTGATGTGATGATGAATTTTGCTATATAAAAGTATCATTATATATATACAGGTATTATTTCCTTAACTTTTTGCACGCACCCCTACCGCCAAATCCTGTATCCGAACGGAAATGATCGGATTTCTTTTCCTTATGCCTAAATATGAGGGACAGTGTGCCTGCAATTATATGTATCACTATCTCAGTGCTGAATCCGATTGTGATGACTTTTGATCGATTTCTTGCAAATAAACCCACTTATGTGTGGATGTCACCTGAAAAAGCAATTCGAATGATTATTTTTCATGTTTTGTGGTGTTTTTCTTCTTTTTTTTTGACGGAGGTAGTCCATTTGGTTTAGTTGCCGTTGCAAGCGTTTTGTGCCACTACCTAATGTGACGTATGACGTTGGAATACGACTGATTTTATGAAATTTACGGCGAACCTGTTTTCGACTACATTATCGCTTTATTGTGCTTGACAATTAGGCCTCTACCTTGTTTACTCAGGCCTAGTGTATGTTTACTTCATTGCGTCAAATAAAGGAAAGGAGAACGCAACACGTCAAAGAAAGAAGGTTAGAAGACGAGAAATGACTCAAAGTGACAAAACACATTAAAAGCTGAATTTATTGATTACGAAATAGGCATCACACTAGACTGACGTCCAACTCGATGTTCTCATCGTACGTGAACTTGGAAACATTACCGTTGCTCTTTAATATTTAATTTAATTTATTTTGTTTTAAAAAATATATTCAAGAACACGAGAAAACACGACAGAAAAGAAGCAATACGACGGGATAACCAAAAACCGAAATAAATCACTGTCGAGTGGTTTTCCAAGGTTAAAAAATTACATGTAAACACTTAAAAATATAAGCCTATATGTAGGCCTAATCCAAATAAACTAATTCCTCCATGGTATAATATAGTAGGCCTATATATGAATTAAAATTAATATCCTTATTCAGAAACGTGCAATGAAAGATTAAAAAACAGTAAAATTAGAAACGAATCATTTTGCAACTTTGCCTTACTTGACCTTCGATTAAGTATCATGACCATTAAATACTTAAGACATTTTACAAAATTAAAATCTTATACTATTTGGGAATAAAAAAAGAGTAAATTTTGAATTTGCCAGTGTTGTGTATATTCAATGGAATATAAGCCTACACCAGGCAGGCACTTAGCAACAAATATATATTTCATTAAAACGGGTTTCAACAGAAATTATACCAACCAGCTGGAGGCGGTGGGGGATATTGGATAGAAAGACAAAAACTTGAGTCATTTTACACTGTGTGTGTTTTTTTTTTTTACTGAAAAGAAGATGACCTTTTGATACGGTGACCAAGCAGGAGCACCATACTCAATGATAGGGTGGACAAGAGCGCGGTAAACTTTTATAACACGATCCCGAGATCGAACCAACTTAAACACAAACCCTAGCCACGACACCAGACTTTGCTGCTAATAATGTCACTCCAAAAATTGACAAGACCATTTTATTCTACGATTCCATATTTAAGCATCATAGTACTACATAATACAAAGAGAAAAACTATATACAGTACAAGTTACCAAAATTAGAATACCTAATTAAGCATTTATATAAAAACATCCATATTGCACTTAAACTCAGTGCAAACTCAGTGCACATTATCAGTTGTAGACTTTCCTTTAATTGGGTTAGATTGTAACCATTTTCTGCCAACGATAGGCGCACTCTAAAAAATTTCTCAAAAAAGGGAAGGCGGTGTCGTTTTACACTGGGTTGGCTCGCCCACAAGTTGGCTTTCGGGTTTGGTGAAAGAATCTGTGGTAAGTCAAAAGTTATTTTACAATTTTAGTTGGATGTGTAGTGACATATTCCTTAAAAATTCAACTTGCTGTTTAAATTCATGTCCATGTGTAAGTATGGTAAACAACTAGGCCTACGGTATATATTTTCTCTGTCTGTAGCAGTAGACTCAACCGAATGTTAAACAACAAGCCCCCTCTACTGTAGCTAGGCCCTGGCGGCACCTCTGTTAGGCCGGTGCGCCTTAGGCCTAGCCTAGGTGTTTTAGGCTAGACTTTAGTATACCGAAGTGTGCCTGAATGGCGGAAGGTGAAATCTAGTGTATAGACGAATCGAATTTGTCGAATATTTAACATCGACTAGCCTACTGCTAGGCCTAGGCCTAGGCCCTAGTACTTATGCTAGCTATTATAGGCTAGGCTAGGCCTAAGCCTATTTTTTAGGCTAGGCCTAGCCCTAAGCCAACAATAAATTATGTACTTTGCCGGTAGTAGATAAATGCAGTCTTGGCTAGGCATAGCTGGCTAACCAAGGCCTCAACTCAGGCCAGGCTACAGCTAGGCGGAATGTCAGTAAGTTCGAGCGAATGTCAGTTCGACCAGATGCATTTAGTGCGAACTAAACAAGGGCAAATTTATATCGTCGCCCTTTCTCCGATCCGTGGAAAAGGCATATATTAAAAATTAAAAATATTGGTGTTTGTGAGCAATACAGTTTAATTTTATATAAGTAAGCGGTAAGTATATGAATAATTTTTTAATGCACTAGTTAGTTGATAACTTCATTCTAATTTGTTTTGGGTCTTTTTTCTGCATTTTTATAAGCAGTTAGACATGGCCTGGGCCTAGGCTAGTCAATGTGATGTTCATTGTAATACTACAAAACAAAATTACATCAATTTAAAATCAAATTTGTGAACATACTAGCAGGTGATTTTATTGGTAGATTAGTTTATTTTTAAGTGTGTTTAAGTATGATTGATTTGCATGCAAAGTGAAATTAGTACACTTATTTGGCTATGTTTTACCGTACCGTAATTCTCGGCTAGGCCTAGCTGTACGCCTAGCTACAGTAATACGCAGTGTGGCTAAGGAAAGTTTTGTTTTTCTGAGCATGTGCAGATTTGCTTATCTGGTTCATTAACTTAACAACACCACACATAAGGCTAATTCAAGTTAGACAGCTTAAAAGTCCTTGATATTATTAATATGGGGTTTTTTTTCATTGGCGTAACCAATCAATCTAATTTCTTTTTTTTTTTTTTTCAAAATGTTGTTGATCGGAAAATGAGTTAAAATATATGAATTGTAAAATTGAGAGGAATACTAACAAAGAACCTTTAAATTTTTAATTTTTTCATTAATTATAATGGATTTGTTTATCCTCTGCCTTATTAAATGCAATAGATTAGCCTAGTTTTTTTATTTGTCCAGCGTCTTTAATAGTGCATCCACCTATATTTGTATACCATAGTTTGTTTTCATCGTCTACTTCGTGAATGAATATTTACTTGGATAAACCAACTAATTGCCTATTCTTTCTCTCACGAGAAACACCCCTCGAAAAAGAAAATATTTATCAGATCTTATTTTGTTTATTTCTACGTTACATAACAACATGCAATGTATTACCATCATCATTTTCTAATTATATTTGTACTTTTTGGAGTTAATTTGGAGAGCATTAGATTTAATTTCCGATTTCGTTTATCTCGTACAAAGCAAAAAGATAAGCACAAGAAAGAGGGTGGAGGAGGCGAACAAAAGTGAAAGAGGGATTCCAGAAAGTGAACTAAATCACTATCTAAGTTGGTCTCCCAAAACACTGTGTCCATAAAATACAATTCACAAAAAAAACAATAATGTAACATTGTTAAAATTAATATACATTTTCTATAAATAAAACAACATTTATCATATAAAATATGGATTTTAAATACACCATGAAAATTTATCTAAAATGGCATAAGATAATATGTGGAAGTTTCATCTTACCAACCATTGTTGGCAAAAGTGAGGAGAAGGATAAATTAGTCGGAGGAGATCTTTTTAAAAACTTCTTATAGTTTCATTTTCCGTTTGTGTTAAATTCTGTATACAAAAAAAACAACATAAAGATCAAGAAATGACTAGCCCAATTAACATTGCTTAGATGTTTTCTGTTTATATTATTACCTGTAAAAGCAGGCTCACAGCGTGCGAATCTTGAACAATGTCGTCACGCTGGTGGCAGCATTTTATTGGATAATGCAATTTACCGTATCTTTAGCAAACGAAAGAATACGGTACCGTATCTCTAGCCACGGCATATATTTAAACTTTTGAACGGTTTGACTACAGTATGTGAGGGCACACTCCAACTTTAAAGAATAAGCATCTTGTATTTAACTAAAATATGCACTTTCTTCATTTATTTAACAGGCGTGTAAAGATGAACAGCGCAGTTTGTGCTCGGTGCCAAGAGGGCTTCCAGCAGGATGAGAGAATCGTGAACTCTCATGGACAAGTATGGCACGAAGCTTGTTTTGTGTAAGTAGACAAGTAATTCAATTACCTGTAGTAAATTGTGCAGTGGACAGTGTAATTTACTACATCAAAAATGAAAGGATAAAATGTTTATAAATTACAATAAATTAAATTTATTTAATTGCTTTCTACAGGTGTGCTCAGTGTTTCTCACCTTTCCCTGAAGGTGTTTTCTTTGAGGTAATTTTCGTTTTATTATCTATCCCTTCAATTTTTAACATTATAATCTAATTCATTTGATTAAAACTCTGCCCATTGATCCAAGTAGATCCATATGATAACATAGATGGTTTATTACAGTTGTTTCACTTGAGTGGTTTTTACCATATACAGTATTTCTTTCTATGCTTCACTTAACAAAATGACTGTTGCAGTATTCAGCTTACATCATATTGCTTCCTATTGACATGTTGTTAAAGGACTACTGTCTCTGTTGAATTGGTTGAGTTAATAGACAAGTTGGAAAATATACTTCCATGGTTTGAATTTCTGTATATTTTAAGTTTTTTTTTATTTTAAAGGTGATCTTTTAATTTACTCTTGTCTGGGCATTTCGTTGTTATAACTCACTCTGTTATTTCATCATTATGCATCTCTCTGTTTAAGCAACTGAGGATAAGCTCCAGCCCTATGGGCCATAATGGCTTGGCAAGGATTTTCTTTTTCTCTTTTTCTTTATTGTTTGTGTTTGATCCAATCAGTATGGAAATAAAATAAAAGTTAAATAAAAATGGTAAGTTAAAAGCTTCCAAGTGAAAATTAGAACAAAAATATTGCCCTTGCCATTTAACACATGTGTTGAAAAGGTTGGGCTTTTTATTTTGCAATTTTTTTAGTTTTGTTATTGTGTTGTTTTTTTTTTATGTGTTTCTTATTTGTTTGCTGTATATGTATGACCCATTATTTAAATGAATTGTCAATTAACTTGTTAGTAGTGATTTTATTTAGTTTTCATCACTGTCTGTGTGAATTTTGATAACATTTCTACGTGTTTTTATAGCGGTATATTTGTAGTACAGAATATTTAATGGCATTTTACCTTCTTTTCAGTTTGATGGGCGCAAGTACTGCGAACATGACTTTCAGATGCTCTTTGCACCCTGCTGTGGTAAATGCAGTAAGTATCGAATGTTATGACTTGTGTATAAAAATTTAAAACTATAACACTGTTGAAGATACACATTAATGTTACAATTTACTGATTGTAATCGCTTGCATTGATTTCTGTAGGTGAGTTTGTGATTGGGCGTGTCATCAAAGCTATGAACAACAATTGGCACGCTCAGTGCTTCAACTGCGCCCTCTGTAATGTAGAGCTGGCTGACCTCGGCTTCGTCAAGAATAAAGGCAGGTCAGTCAATCGAGTTCATAGTTCAGTACTCTGCCTCATCTAGGCTATAAAAGAAAATGGTATTGACGATGATGACAATCTTAATAGCGAATATGATATTGATGGAAATATGATGATAATGTGATCTTCATGATGAATAATTAATGTGATGATGAATAATAATACTAATAATGTTATAGGTGATGATGATGATGATGATGATTAAAAAAAATTAACAATACACATCATTTACTCTTAAAGGGTATGTTTACTTCTCCTTCCCCCTAGAGTGAGGCAGTTAAATCCACTCTGTCCATCCATTTACATATTCCTTTGTGTAAGGCACTCTTTTTGCAGCATTTGTCTTTCTCAGCTCAGGAGTATGCTTTGTACATGTTCTGTTTAATGCATTTAGTATTTTATGGATGCTCATGCATGGCTAGGGATACTCCCCAGAGACCATAAGAAGTTACACATTATGTATAATTGTAATTATCTCCAGATCCTAGTGTAAAAAACTATAAATTTTATAAATTTGGTATCAAATTTATCATTATTACAATAATGATTGTTTTAATAACATTAATGGTACATAGGAGTGACGGTTTTGCCCTACCTGACGTGTTATCGTACTGAATGCTCAGTACGTCCGAAATACTTGAGAAAAAACTTACAAGTGATTCGTGTAGGAATTGAACCAATGACCTCCAGACAACTAACCTGGTGTCATAACCTTTTTAATGATATACTGTATTTTTTATAACCTTATTATTGTTATTGTAAATACTAATATTAAATATAAGAAATAAAAATGATCTTCAATATTCCAATGGGATTCCTTATATTGCTTTAACTTATTTTGACAGCCCTGTTATTCAGCTAGTGGATTTAGAAATTAATTTTGTAATCCCACCAATTCAAAGTATAAATTTTGATTCCAAATAATCTCCTTTAGGATTTATCAATTCAAGAATTGACCACAACTGTAATCAGTGTTTTATATATTATTGAGTGATTAATGAATATTTATATTTATTGCAGAGCTCTATGCAAGCCATGCCATTTAAAAGAAAAGGCAGCCAGTAAGTTTATTTTTAAGTTAATAAATTATTTAAAGATATTTTGTATGTCTAGCTAAATAAATTGAAAAACAAAATTTAATAGATCAAGTGCTTACTTTGTATATTTAGATTATTAGACTTCAATTGAAAAATTTGAAAAAAAACTATTTCCCTCAACAATAAACATATGTATAGGTAATACAATTTTTAATTTTGTGCATATATACCCTTAAATTGGTTACCAGACAATTATGATACTTCCATAGTAAAAAATAACAATTAATTTTGCTATGCATCTCTAAAATATAATATTATGTTTTATTGATTAATTGATTCATATACTATCGGTTCAAATTAATTAGAAATAGATATTTCTTAAGATTTTTCTGTTGACAATTAACTTTTTTTAATAAGTTAAAGTAAATCTACCAAAGGAATAATTTTGTTACTGTTAGGTTACTATAATTGTGTTTTTAATTTATTTAATTCTCACAGGTAGTGGCAAACACATATGTTTCAAATGCCAGTAAGTATCAAGTATATTTAAATTATTATTATATTTTGAGGTGTAGCTTTATGTTTAATGTACCAGGGTTTCCCAGGATTTGGATCATAAAAGTAGCTTTACTGAGGGTGTGGTTGGCGAAGTGGTTGTAATTTGGGCTCTCTTTTTTTGGGCAAGACACATTACCTACCAATGGTTGTCTTTCTTTTAGGCTTAACACATTGCAGCAG